TAATTTAATATATTAAAATTATATTGTAAAAATATTATAAAAACATTTTTAATTTTATTTATTTAATTATATTATTAGGATTAATTAATTTGTAACCATAGGTTACAGATAAATTTTGTAACCATAAATAATAATATATAAATGATCGACATTATGCAAAAATCGATAATAGTGAAGTATATAGTAGTATATATGTGTATGACGTCGATGATATAATCAGAAATATACATATATATAAAAGGAAAATAAACTGTATCTTAGTTCTTTTTACTGCAACAAGCGAAAGTATTAATAGAATAAAATTGTCGATATATACCTTGCTCAATAGATCGTATCGAAAGTCTAAGAAAATTGTGACAGTCTTTTTGCTATATAACACATAATACGTCAGTTTTAATGGCCCATCAAGTTTTCATGAAGTAAACTACAAGTAAAGTGTAAATACCTCAATCAAAAACTCATCGTGAAATTCATACTAGGTTGTAATATATTAGCTTCATTACGTTCACAAGTCGTTCATAAGTATTCAAAAAGAAAATTGTAAGTTGAATGATTTTTGATGAAGAAGAATGTGCTCTACTAAAAGGTTAAACTATTACTAAATACCTCTTACCATATTTTTAGCCTATGTTAAGTGATAAGAGGGTAGCAGCTTCATATCTACAAATTCCTTTTATATGCTCTATATAACAAAGTTCACACCCTACATTAAGTAATGAGATATTACTAGCTTTCAGTTCACAAGTTCTTTCCGTATACTCAATACAACAAAATTCACAGTATGCGTTGAGTTATGAGATATTAACAGCTTCCAGCTCACAAGTTTTTTCCGTATGTCCTAATGAACAAGGTTCACAGCCTACATTGAGTGATGAAATATTACCAGTTTTTGGTTCACAAGTTCTTTCCGTACATCCTAATGATAGTTTACAGCCCATGTTAAGTGATGAAATATTATCAGTTTTTGATTCACAAGTTTTTTTGTATACCCTATTGAACAAAGTTCACAGCTCATGTTAAGTAATGATGAAATATTATCACCTTCTAATTTGCAAGTTTCTTCTATCTGCTCTATATAACAAGAATGTGTTTCACCTAAATTTAATATGTCGAATACTAATAATGTAGACAATAGATT